TTGAATGAAAAGAAGCATCAGTTCACCTCAAGGCATTGCAGCATGGCAAACTGAGGTGGCAGCCGCAGCAGCTGATTGGAGGAGAGGTTGATGTGAGTCACCAAGAGAAGCTGATCAAGGTGACACAGGGTCGTCAGGTTCTGTGTTAGGAGCGAGAGAAAGGCAAAGAAAGAAGTTAATCTTTCGTTTCAAGCACTGTAACATTGACTGAAAAGAATGGAAGATTTTCTGGAGAAGGATGAGGCCACCACACTTCAAAAAACCTCAAGAGAAACTCACTAGAAACCGAGTGGCTGTTTGAACGCAAGAAAAGAAGCAAAGCATGAATGAGGGATTGGTGTAATACTGGTAATAAAGATTGTAAGATTAATTCCTGTCGTCATCTGTAGTATGATAAGCAGGGTGTAACTGCTGTTGTCACTACACTGATAGAAACAAGGAAGAGATGTGGGTTTATACAGTGACTAAATCCAAAACACCAGTATGGGTGTTTCTATATAATATCATATTGAATATAATTAAATCTATTTCTTAATCAATTTTCTAAATCCTTTAATAGGCACACCCAGAAAAAGATGCATTAATTATTTGTAGTTTGTCATTCCTTGTATAGAAGAGAATTAATGCCACATTGAAATTCAATCATTACATAGCAACAACATAATACAATACACCCACAACAAAACTTTTTAATAAATTCACCAAAAATGATGACACAATGAAAATGGATATAAATTGCACTTTTTTAACACATAAGAATGTTTTAATTGTGTATATGTATATGCCACCTAGCTATTAATTAACAAAAAAAATGTATGGGGATTTAAAAAAAAATAAAAAATAAAAAAAAATACTGAGGTCACACCTCCTATCTAGTGTTTTTCATTTCAATGCTATTCTTACTTGGAGTAAAACTTCCTACACACACACACACACACACACACACACACGTTTTCAAGTCTACATTGATATTTTATTATATATCCATGCTATCAATGTACAAAAAAATAAAAAATAAAAAATAAATAAAAATTACATACAATGAATGCGTAACTGATCTGTTGAACAATAAAAAAAAAAAAATTGTATTTTGATATTACATCATAAAGTATGCTTGTGAAAAGATTCACATTCACATCCTATGACAGATTTCATTGCTGCTTACATCATAAAATGATGCAAAGAGTTTTAACTACAGTTTAGACTACTGTGATAACCAATTATTTTTGTGCTTAACATTTAATACTCACATGGTTATGATGACTAAATGGGTGGAGTACAACATTTTTTTAACAGGATTTCACATTTAAAACATGCTCTATTAAATGGCTGAAATCCCTGTCAAAGATTTCGAGAGTCAAACAACCATTATCTCTCACGTGCCGATGCTTGAGCAAGACTACTGTACATTACTCATGTTTCTGTCATCACATTCATGTGTCAAATCAGTTTCTACACATGGGTGAAGACATTTAAACAATGCTGTCACACTCATTACACAAGAACAGGAAGACATTACCTTTTTAAAACATCCTGATGATATATGAAAAATGTCTGAAAAATTGTCCAATAAGTTTAGACATTTAGGTTGGAGTTATTTTAATTTAATAAATACAATCTCAGATATTTACAATTTTGGTTAAATTCATACATATTAAATAGGGCAAGATTATTGGCGTAAACTAAATATTACACTGTATGTGTGTGTGTGTGTATATATATATATATATATATATAATATATAAATCTATAGACCAATTCAGAGTAGACGTCACAGTTACATCACTTGCAGCTGCGTGCACATAGTGGTTGCAGAAAAACACTGGGAACAAGTGGAGGTAAATGGGTAAAATCCATGGAATAAAATAAAAAAATATTTTTGTGCCTTTTGATGTCAAGATCGGAATGCAAATCATTTTTATAGAATACTGTCGTCAAAGACGCCATTTGAAACTAAACGCAGACGTTTAAACGGACAAACTATGGATGAAAACTGCTATGACTACTCTACTTTTAAAGCTTTAATTCGATTTAAACAATAGGTCTACATAATATTCACATATGCTGTTCATAGGGGACGTATTGTATTAGCCCTACAGTTACAGCATGAAATATCATTTAAACCTTACTATTAGAAATATTATTTAAACCTTACTATTAACATTTTTACATTACATTTATTAATTTTATCTCACAATTCTTACTTTTTCTCGCAAATGCAAGTTTATATCTCCTAATTCGGACTTTATAACTCGACTTAACTCAAAAATAGTGAGTTTGTCAAATCTGAGGGAAAAAAGCCAGAAGAGCTGAGGAGAAAAGAGAGAATGATGAGTTGTTTTTCCTTATTAGAATTGTGAGATATAATCTCGGAATTGCGAGAATAAAGTCAGAATTTTGAAATATTTACCTTTTTTTAATTCTTTTATTCCATGGCTCCATAGACTGCCTCCAGATAGGCTCCGCCCACAAAAAAAGTCATCCCTGTTTCGGATCTGTAAGACTATCCCACTCTCTAACGTCAATTTCGTTGAATAACAGTGTTTATCGCTGAGTGACAAGCTCTTGTAATATGCGGAGAACATTTTGAAAATGACATCTAATCAATATAATTTATAATCATTTTAAACCTAACTATTTTGTACCGTATCCGTGAAATTCTCTAGCCGTAAAGACTATCTCTCCCGGGTTTTCTGCAACCATGATGTGCACGCATCCTGAATGTTTACAAACCTATAATTGGTCTATAAAACCTTAAATAAACTGAAATAAATTGAAAAAAGTGGTTACAGAACTAACTAAAATGAAAATATTTATTTTTAGTTACCATTTGTATAAAGGTGATTATACACGGGGCAACTTTTTGAGCAATGTTACCGTCAACGGGCAACGAGGTGACAGGGCTCTAGCCTCATTCTTCCCACTGGTCGCTCTTTTGCGACTTTCGCAACTTTCTCATTTGGTCACACTCACACGAGCACATGGTTTGGTCCAAATTTTTTTTTTTTGCTACAACATGGGATTAATCAATGCATGCTGAACTTTTATCATAGTTTATATGTCTTTGGCCTAGAGCAGTTCTTGTTAATAATATCTGACAAATGTCAACATTTTGCTTTTTTCACTGCTTTCTGATATTTAAATAAAGAGTGCTTTAAAATCTCAAAAGAAACATGAAGTCTGTCCTTTTTCCACTTGCGCTCTTCTACAACATTGTCTGAGAGAAGGAATAGAGTCATCAATCCAGGGTTCAGAGCGGGTTTTAGACTGGAGAGTCCTTAAACGGGCCACAGCATTTAAAACATTAGAACAGGTGGAGTTAAACCTGGAGAGTAGTTCCTCGACGCTAACATTACAGGAAAAATCGACAATAGATGGCATCACTTCATGAAAAATTAAAAAAATAAAAATAATAATAAGTATTTTGTAGCATGAGTAGACAACTTCTTTTTAAAGAAAATAACAAATGAAAAAATATATAATCATAAACTATGACAGACAGCCGCAGCAGAGAGAAGAGTTTCTGTGAACTTAAATTTAGCGACTTTAACCTATGACAACTATGGAACGGCTCCAGAACACTTGGAATATAGTGCACGAGAACTTTATGGTGATTTATAATGTTTTTTTTTTTTGCCTTTCGTGGGGCTTAACAACACAATAGTTAAAGCAGAATATCGGATTTGGATCGGTCTCATCTGACCGATACGGCAGAAAATCGGAGCCGATACCGATACTGAGTATTGGATCGGTGCATCCCTACTTGTAATGCCTCTTTGGCGCTGACTTTGTATCTCCAGCAGCTACAACAGGAAAACAGTAATGGCGGTTGCTGCTGCTTCTCACTCAGGGCTGTGTTTATGCTAATAGGGCAGAGACTGTCACAAATGGGCGTGACTTTTTCCCTACGGTGACGTATATGCAGGGAGATTCTGAAATCGCTTGTTCAGAGACGCCGTTTATGATTTAATGGGATTATATATAAAATGAGTGGGTGGATTTTTACCATTATAGGCTGGTTGTTTTCACACACTGCAGCCACACAACTGTGTCCAAACACCTTATAAAAGTGATTTTTGCATAACAGGTCCCCTTTAATATGCATGATATGGAGGCAAGATGAAACGAAAATACCATCTAAACTTTTCTAAAACGTTAGAGATACATTCATATACACCCCCACCACCAACTGTATTGTGATTCGTTTAACATCTCAACTGAAAAAAAAATTGTTATAACTAAATAAAACAATTAAACACTAATGGCTCGTTTCCACTGAGCGGTACGGTTCGGTACAGTACAGTACGGTACGCAATTATGTCCGTTTCCACTGTCAGAAGTTGTGAATGGTACCAAAATAGCAAACCGTACTATACCACTTTTTCGGTACCCTTCTGTTGGGGTAACTAGCACAGCAAAGGGAACCAAAAGGGTGGAGCTAAACTCACCGCAGAACATTGATTGGTTGACTAGAATCATCACTTTTGTGTGCTACAAGGGGATAAAGCTTCTCCTTCACTCGTTCCGCTTTGCTGTCCATGAGTGTTGGGCTTATTTACATCAGAGTGCGCAAACACAAAAAAATATAACCGTGCATTTTATAATTTTATGTTTTCACACAGACAATAGCCGTTTCTCAATATGCATTCTTGTGGACTTGTGAAACGTCATTGCCCAAAAATCTTAATTTTCTAAATATTACTGTTATTGTGTCATGAAATGTAGTTTTAAGGGTTTTTCAGGCGAGAATGTAATTGTTTAAAACTCAAATCTGCGGTTTATTTATAAAGATAGCGCCTATTTGAAAATTTGCTATGCCGATTTCGGAGCTCCAGGCGATCACCGGGCGCTCAGTGCTCATGTATCCGCCGAGAGCAGCCTTAGCTCGGCTAGTCCTTCTGACATTTGCCGCTGGCTCTGATGTCTCTGTAGTGGTTAAACATGAGATACAATTCGTTTTAGGTTGGCTATATTTAACAGGCATTCGTGGTCTCATGAATCTATTATTTACTCCTGGTCATATCGTTTCGTTATGCCCAAACTCGGTCCTGCAGAGTTTAGCTCCAACCCCAATTAAACACACCTGAAGCAGCTAATCAAGCTCTTACTAGGCATACTAGAAACATAAAGGCAGGTGGGTTGAGGCAAGTTGGAGCTAAACTCTGCAGTACACCGGCCCTCCAGGACCGAGTTTGGGCACCCCTGCACCACGCCTATCAAGAAGGGTATTATTGGCAGTGGAAACGCAAGCCTGATCAGGGTTACCCGTACTGAATCGTACTGTACCGTACCGCTCAGTGGAAACAGCCATAAATTAAATTCTAAAAAACTGTCAGACCAGAGTTGGGCTCTCTTACCTTATTTGACAGGCTAAATACTCGCACCTCTGCATACTCCATTTTCAGAATGGTGTTTTCAATCAGAAACTTGCTGCACAGGTCACTGTAGTAGGTAGAGCGCATCGGGTCCACTTCCTGTGAGAGAGAGAGAGAAAGGCCAATTAAACTGCCTTCTTTTAAGTGGTGTTTACAAAGCCAAACATCACTATTACTACATTGCTCATACTGAGGAGTTAGTGATTTGATATTGATTTCTATTATGGATCTTCATTGAGGTTGTAATAGTATTTTCTCACTTTAAGGGTTTGAAAATGTGCCAGTGTCTCTTTCTCATGGCCTAGAGGATCCAGAGCTCTCATGAGGAGTATGATTGTCAGCAGACACCCTGAAACACACACACACACACACACACATACACAGACTTACAACTGTTTATATTGCCAAAGATAAGGCAGCAAATACAAATGTAATGTGAAGTATGCATGTACAAAACACACACCCAAATAAAACACACTGACACCGCTTACATTTGTTCTGCGGTTCGAGCTCCAGCAGCTGATTGCAGGACTGAAGCTCTGCCTGTAACACCGAACTTTTCTCAACTGACAACTCCCTCCTGCCACAAACACACAAGCAATCGCTCTATGATCTGGTAATAACTTAGTCAACACAATCAAACATTAGTAAGACATTACTCTCCTCATCACAAGACCTCTTTGACACATGAAACAATTGTGTTGCAAATAACTGGCATAAATCTGATAAGTGATTATTTTACTTGCTGATGTCAGCGACAGTTAAAAGTGTAATACACACATCCACACCTTAAGAAGTCAATTACTCACAAAGAACTTGGATACTGTATGTACAAAATGTATGATATATATATATATATATATATATATATATATATATAGGGATCGGGTCCACTTCCTGTGAGAGAGAGAGAGAAAGGCCAATTAAACTGCCTTCTTTTAAGTGGTGTTTACAAAGCCAAACATCACTATTACTACATTGCTCATACTGAGGAGTTAGTGATTTGATATTGATTTCTATTATGGATCTTCATTGAGGTTGTAATAGTATTTTCTCACTTTAAGGGTTTGAAAATGTGCCAGTGTCTCTTTCTCATGGCCTAGAGGATCCAGAGCTCTCATGAGGAGTATGATTGTCAGCAGACACCCTGAAACACACACACACACAGACTTACAACTGTTTATATTGCCAAAGATAAGGCAGCAAATACAAATGTAATGTGAAGTATGCATGTACAAAACACACACCCAAATAAAACACACTGACACCACTTACATTTGTTCTGCGGTTCGAGCTCCAGCAGCTGATTGCAGGACTGAAGCTCTGCCTGTAACACCGAACTTTTCTCAACTGACAACTCACTCCTGCCACAAACACACAAGCAATCGATCTATGATCTGGTAATAACTTAGTCAACACAATCAAACATTAGTAAGACATTACTCTCCTCATCACAAGACCTCTTTGATACATGAAACAATTGTGTTGCAAATAACTGGCATAAATCTGATAAGTGATTATTTTACTTGTTGATGTCAGCGACAGTTAAAAGTGTAATACACACATCCACACCTTAAGAAGTCAATTACTCACAAAGAACTTGGATACTGTATGTACAAAATGTATGATATATATATATATATATATATATATATATATATATAGGTAGATTTTTTCTAAAAATATTTTTTTTATATATTGTGATTTCTCAGGACACCTATATCAGTGATATCTGTCAGGTAGGGAGGTTATTTTCAAATCACCTGCAGTAACTTCCGTTATTAAAGTTCAACAAACATTTCATTCATGAGTGAAACATGAACGTGGACAACGGAGCAGTGCAGCAGCAACACTTTACATATTACACATGTTTGATAAAGTCCATTAAGAGGGAGACATTTTTTAAAATATTCAGGTTTTGCAGATTTGCAGTTCAGCGTTTGGTTTGTTTGGAAAAAAAAAAAATGTTTTAGTGTTTAATTAAAACTTGATGACATTCCGAAGCATTTATTGTATGCGTAGACAAATAGGACAGGAGGCTGTCTTTGCAACGTTTTAATGTATCAAAATTAATTTGCTATGATTTAATATTACATTTTAATATTCAATGTATTGTTTGCATAAAATATTTGAATTTTACATGTGTGACCCTGGACCCCAAAACCAGTCATAAGGGTAAATTTTTTTAAATTGAGATTTAAATTTTTTATATATTGAGATTTATATTTTACTGAATAAATAAGCTTTCCATTGATGTATGGTTTGTTAGGATAGGATAATATTTGGTCGAGACAACTATTTGAAAATCTGGAATCTGAGGGTGCAAAAAAATCTAAATATTGAGAAAATCGCCTTTAAAGTTGTCCAAATGACGTTCTTAGCCATGCATATTACTAATCAAAAATTAAGTTTTGATATATTTACGGTAGGAAATTTACAAAATATCTTCATGGAACATGATCATAAAAGAAAAATCAATCATTTTGACCCATACAATGTATTGTTGGCTATTGCTACAAATATACCCCAGCGACTTAACACTGCTTTTGTGCTCCAGGGTCACAAATAGCTTTTATCACTTGTTACTTTATTGCTTCTGGTTAGGACACATTGTTGGATTCAAAAATACTTATTTTTTAATTTATTTAAAAGTTTGAGGTCTATAATTTAAAAAAAATGTTTTTTATGCATTTATTTGATTAAAAATACAGTAAAAATAGTAATATTGCACAATATTATTACAATAACCATTTTCTAATGTTCATATATTTTAAAATGTATTAATCCATTCTTCAGTGTCACACGATCCTTCAGAAATCATTCTAATATGCTGATTTACTGCTCAAGTAACATTTCTGTTTATTATCAATGTTGAAAACAGTTGTGCTGCTTCACATTTTTGTGGAAACTGTGATTTATTTTTCAGGATTCTTCAAAAACAAAGTTCAGAATGCTCAAAAGTATTTATTTGAAAGAAATCTTTTGTAGCATCGTAAATGTCTGCTGTCACTTTTGATCAATTTAATGCATCTTTACTAAATAAAAGTTCCCAAACTTTAAAATGGTAGTGTATTAATTAAGCTAAGACTGATGGACAGGTGTTCGTTGCCAATAAAATGGCTTAATTCAATTGTTTATTGCATATATGCACAGTATTAATCTTAAGAATTAAGCTCATCTTCAAATTTGAGAGATGAACGGTTTAGTTATTGTGACAAAGTAGTAAAAAAATAAAACAATTTAAGTCTCTTAGCATGAACACACATACATTACAGACACACAGCAGTACCTGAAGAGCTCCTGATCGGTGGCAGAGTCTCTGCACCAGCTTTCAGCTGAGCCTAAAACATGACAGAGACGTTTACACTTGCTCTCTCTGCCCATCTTCATCCATCTCTATTCAACAAATACAAAATCCTCCTCCTCCTCAGCTGTATTTCCCTGCAAACACTCCACTACCTGCACATCTCACCTGTGTAGAGAGCACAGTCTCTGTGTGTGTGTTTCTCTGTCCAGTGGACGGTCAGGTTGTGTTCATTACTTATGTCACTGACGGAGCCGGGAGGAAGATCACACAGCTGACAGAGACAGTTAAAGATCTGTCTGAGTGTATGGATAAATATAACTATAGATCAAGTGCTTTAAAATGAAAGGAAGAGCTCATTCTATTAAAAAGCATCTGAAACATTCTGATAAATGTCTTCTTTTGTCATACAGGTTTAAAAGGAATAGTCCCCCCAAAATGAAAATGTGCTCACCCTCAGGCCATCAAAGATGTAGATGAGTTTGTTTCTTCATCAGATTTGGAGAAATGTAGCATTGCATCAGTGTCTCAGCAGTGGATGCTCTGCAGTGAATGGGTGCCGTCAGAATGAGAGTCCAAACAGCTGATAAAAACATCACAATTTGCTTCTGGTTAGGACACATTGTTGGATTCAAAAATACTTATTTTTTAATTTATTTAAAAGTTTGAGGTCTATAATTTAAAAAAAATGTTTTTTATGCATTTATTTGATTAAAAATACAGTAAAAATAGTAATATTGCACAATATTATTACAATAACCATTTTCTAATGTTCATATATTTTAAAATGTATTAATCCATTCTTCAGTGTCACACGATCCTTCAGAAATCATTCTAATATGCTGATTTACTGCTCAAGTAACATTTCTGTTTATTATCAATGTTGAAAACAGTTGTGCTGCTTCACATTTTTGTGGAAACTGTGATTTATTTTTCAGGATTCTTCAAAAACAAAGTTCAGAATGCTCAAAAGTATTTATTTGAAAGAAATCTTTTGTAGCATCGTAAATGTCTGCTGTCACTTTTGATCAATTTAATGCATCTTTACTAAATAAAAGTTCCCAAACTTTAAAATGGTAGTGTATTAATTAAGCTAAGACTGATGGACAGGTGTTCGTTGCCAATAAAATGGCTTAATTCAATTGTTTATTGCATATATGCACAGTATTAATCTTAAGAATTAAGCTCATCTTCAAATTTGAGAGATGAACGGTTTAGTTATTGTGACAAAGTAGTAAAAAAATAAAACAATTTAAGTCTCTTAGCATGAACACACATACATTACAGACACACAGCAGTACCTGAAGAGCTCCTGATCGGTGGCAGAGTCTCTGCACCAGCTTTCAGCTGAGCCTAAAACATGACAGAGACGTTTACACTTGCTCTCTCTGCCCATCTTCATCCATCTCTATTCAACAAATACAAAATCCTCCTCCTCCTCAGCTGTATTTCCCTGCAAACACTCCACTACCTGCACATCTCACCTGTGTAGAGAGCACAGTCTCTGTGTGTGTGTTTCTCTGTCCAGTGGACGGTCAGGTTGTGTTCATTACTTATGTCACTGACGGAGCCGGGAGGAAGATCACACAGCTGACAGAGACAGTTAAAGATCTGTCTGAGTGTATGGATAAATATAACTATAGATCAAGTGCTTTAAAATGAAAGGAAGAGCTCATTCTATTAAAAAGCATCTGAAACATTCTGATAAATGTCTTCTTTTGTCATACAGGTTTAAAAGGAATAGTCCCCCCAAAATGAAAATGTGCTCACCCTCAGGCCATCAAAGATGTAGATGAGTTTGTTTCTTCATCAGATTTGGAGAAATGTAGCATTGCATCAGTGTCTCAGCAGTGGATGCTCTGCAGTGAATGGGTGCCGTCAGAATGAGAGTCCAAACAGCTGATAAAAACATCACAATAATCCACAAGCAATCCACACCTCTCCAGTCCAGCAGTTAATGTCTTGTGAAGAGAAAAGCTGCCTGTTTTTAAGAAATGAATCAGTCATTATGGCATTTTAAACTTCAAACTGTTGTACCCATTGCTAAAATACAAGTCCATAATCCACACTATTGATTTCTCCAGTGAAAGGGTCATCTTGTCTAAAGCAGGAGAGAAATATGATCAGATCAATCACTGTTTACTAGCCAAAAGAGTCCAAAACAGTTCTAAACAAATATAAGGATAGATTTTGTTGTGAGAGGAAAACAGGAGATTTACTTTTTCACTGGAGGAAGCATTATTACGGATTATGGACTTAAAATGTCTTTGTTAAAATGCCTTAATGATGGATGTGTTTGTTACAAACATGCAGCTTTTGGCTTCTCAAGTTGTTACCTGATGGACTGGAGTGGTGTGGATTATTGTGATGTTTTTATCAGCTGTTTGGACTCTCATTCTGATGGCACCCATTCACTGCAGAGGATCCTTTGCTGAGCAAGTGCTGCAATGCTACATTTTTCCAAATCTGAAGAAAAAACAAACTCATCTACATCTTGGACGGCCTGAGGATGAGCACATTTTGAACTACACATTTTGAGGATGAACTACACCTTTAAAAAGAAGCACTGGTGAGTAAAGAATGAAGAAAAAAAATAATTTTGAGAGTGGAGTGAAGCTGCTTGGTGAAGGATACCCAGACAGGACTGTGACGGAAACGCGGGTGGGCGCTTCTCCACTGCACCTGCTGAGGCTGCCCATCCAACACCAACATCAGACCCTCTGACTGAGCCTGAGAGAGAGAGAGAGAGAGAGAGAGAGAGAGAGAGACTCATTCAGTCGTACTGTGGTTAAACAGCGCAGCTGAACTTCTCTCAGGATTCACTTACATGAACAGGTTTGGAGAAGGCGACAGACACCCTCCGTTTCTCCCGGCTGACATACACACAACTGATCATCTCCTCTCGCTCCGCTACACACACACACACACACACATACAGCAGGGGTGAGCATACGTGTCTTCACAAATACACAGCGATTCTAAACACACACACACACACCTCTGCCCAGCAGCCAGCGGTAGTAGAACCAGGCGCTCTGGTCGTTGGGGTCGGTGAAGAAGGCATTATGCGCCAGCTCATATTCTAGAGAAAACAGTCACAAATTTACTACATGGTTCACTGAAATTATTCTGAAGGGTAAACTGAGAGGCAACCTGAGGTCAAATATTGTAGTCAATAGCACCGCATCCTTAGACACTTGATTGTGTTTGCAAAGATAGAAGCAGGTCCAGGTCTTGACCATATTACCATGTTACCATAGCCTTTAACAGCAAAACAACCACAAAAATACAGACATGTGTCAACAAAGAAATTAAGAAACAATCAAATAAAGGACCTTTGTTTAATTATTGTCTTACAGGATCTATATAAAGTACATAGTATCCTCACATAACAAAAATAAGATTAACTCAAATCAATATTTACTTTAATAATATAATGAGGGATAATGAGATTATCATCTCTTTAATAAACAATCACAATCACCAAGAACATTTAAATTTTTTATATAAATAATCATAGTAATAACAAGTTAAAAATGCTTTTTTTCTGTAATAAGTGTATGATTTATTTATTTAGTAATTAATTGATTGACTGATTGATTGATTATAGGCCAGATTCAAACTACCGTTTAAAAGTTTGGGGTCAGTAAGATTATAGTAATTTTTTAAAGAAATTAATTAATATCAAGGATGCATTAAACGGATTAATTAATTGACAAAATATTTGTATTTCAAATAAATGCTGCTTTTTCATTTTCTATTCATCGATCAAAGAATCCTGAAAAACATATCACAGTTTCCACAAAAATATTAATCAGCACAACTGCTTTCATCATTGATAATAATCATAAATGTTTCTTGAGCAGCATATTATACTGATTTCTGAAGATCATGTGACACTGAAGACTGGAGTAATGATGCTGAAAATTCAGCTTTGATCACAGAATAAATTACAGCTTACAATATATTTAATCAGAAAACGTAAATTAGAATTTTATTCATTAATATTTAATTTTCATTTTAAATTGTAATAACATTTTACAAAATTACTGTTTCTACTGCATTTGTTTATAAAATAAATGCACTCTTGGTGAGCATAAGAGATTTCTTTAGATATTAAAATCTTACCAACACCAAACTTTTGAGTGGTACATAGTCTGTACATCATGAGCTCGTGTACTACTGCTGTGCCATAAATTCAGAGATTAAAAAACTGGTAGTGTTCTGGACGTGCTGAAATTAAGCAGTGTGGAACATAAGCTAAAGCACAATCTCGAGTGCCTTATTGCTTACATTCTGTATGCTGCTCTAAATGAGTTCAAGCACCTTTAAGAAGCTGCTCCTCACAGACTCTGTGTGAGTGAATTTGAGGTGATGCGGTGGGGGAGGGGCTTGTGTTGGGGGCGGGGTCAGGGGCAGGCTGTGGGTGGAGCTGAGGTAGCAGCGTGCTCCTGTAATGCCAGCTGGAGTAGTTGGAGAAATTGGAGCCGATCAGACGATCTGTGAACTGCAGCTCCTGCTCGACAGAAACACCAGACTCCTTTACCACCACGCGCCGGTAATCCCAACAGTGGACTGAGGAAAGAAAAAACACGTCAGACAAAGAGAAATATAAAAATCAGTTCATCTTGTTCAGTGCATGACTCTCTCACAGTTGCGCTCGTCCAGGCTGAGGCAGCGGTCGCAGAGGCCGAGCTCTCGTGTCCAGTCAGGCTGCGGCAGGCGCGTGTTTACCCAGCTGCGGTGGTGCCAGCAGCCGTAAGATTTGGGGTTCACTTTCAGACAGGCCTCGATGAAGTGCAGCTCAGACTCATACAGCTTCTGCACCTCGTCCTTCTCTCTAGAGGATGCAGAGAGAAATATATTACTAGTCTTTTGCTCAGATTTGATGAGGGGTTGTCATTTTTAATGACTTTTTATTTATTTATTATATTTTTTTGTGATAATGTTAATAAACGCAGTTAATTATAAACATTACTGCTGTGTCCTCACACTAGGATTTTTGTTTTTTTACATTCACAAAAAAAAAAAACTTATAAATATTCATAGCTGTGAAATATTTCATAGAGCAGTCAGAAATATTTATACTTTTTATATGATTTCTGCATTTAAGAAAAACAAATTTTCAGTTGAAAAGCAAGATTTACAATTTAGTATGTGCAACACGTAAATATGGTTATATGCATAATATAAAATTATGGTATAAATCTAGTCACTAATTATATTATTTTAGTAAAGTATGACAAGATTTAGAATACAATGTAACAGATTTACAGAAGCCCTGGGCAGAAAGAAAAATAAAGTTGATTTGTTTATTCAAAATTTAATTGATTTTGCATTTAATACATGTGTGATTTGCATCATAATATAATATAATATATAATATAATGTAATAACTAATTTACAGAAGCCCTGGGCAGAATGAATCGAAAAATAAAGCTGACTTCAAATCAAATAAAACATTTTTTTTTTTAAATAATAAATGTTTTGGCATTTTCACAACAAAAAAAAAAAAAAGAAGTGTACATGTGTGATTTAGAAAATATAAATAAAATAATGATATAAATCTAGTCAATAACCATATTATATTGGCAAATCCTAAAACATTTACAAATAAATGTAATCAAAATTTAAAGTGCCATGAAACCCCCTGGTTTCAGCACTGGTCTTTCACAGCTTAGATCTGAAAAACACTCCAGAAATGGGTGTGTAACATTGTGGAAAAGTGGGAGTGTAGAGGCTGGGAAGAGGGGAGAAAACAACCAATAAAACACAGACCCACAACACACTCATTATACAGACATTACGGTTGTGTTTACAGAGATGAACTGACAGCGCGGAAGCTCTTTCTTGAGATTTAAATTCTCCGCTGTAAGACGACCTCATGCATAATGCATGGCATTGATTGGATCATAAGAGTTAGTTCTCATGAATAATACTGAGAAAAGCTCAGGAAACTGATGACGTAGATGTGTACTCTCCAGCCACGGCAGCCAATCACCACGCATCCAGATTAACACATATACCTCACTTTTCGTGAAGTAGGCTCAACTTTGAAGAACGAAATTGCTCCAAAAAATGAAAAAAAGAACCACTTTTACCTTAATAATAGACATAATGAGTGCTATTGTTGTTTTCACTGATG